ACGCTTCACCTGTGTCTGGTGGGACAGCAGGTCCCTGGCTGGGATCCAAACCTTCCTTAATGCGCCTCTGTTGTATTTCCATCCCCACAATCCACGTGGTGCCGTGACATTCCTCATTCCTGGAGAGCCCACTGCCGGACCTGCCGCCCTCCGGAGCCGCCACATCCCCGCTCCCCGCACATGAGGACCCTGGAATGTTCTCACACGGAGTGCCCAGGGGTTATATTTTTAATTACAAGCAATAATAGATGCTGTTTGTGACTCCTGCTGCCGGGTGACCCCATCCAGGCACGGAATTGCCCCCCCCCCCGCCCCCTCCATCCCAGCTCCGCTCCGGAGCGGCGGCAGAGCCCGGCGTGAATCCTTCCCACGGCACTCGGAGCCATCTGGATGGGATCGGCCCTTCTGCCACGCCAGGGAGGATTGTTAACACAAAGCATATGCTTTGTTTGAAATTAATAATAATTTTAGGCTCTCGCCAGCTGCTGGTAATTGGCTCCCCTTTCGCGGAGATAACGGAGAGCAGCGGGGTGGAAATTCCACCGCTTCCCGGCTCCTTCCCTGATGAGATGAGTCCCCGGGAAGGGTGGCTGTTCCACAGGGATACACTGGGACACTGCCTGGGGTGGTGGCTTTTAGTAACCAGCTCCCTGTGCTGCAGGGATGGGCACACACAGGCACTGGGAATGCTCAGGGACGCCGGGATCCCCTCGGAGGGAGCAAATCCTTCCCGGGAACACACCTGGATGGGGAAGGGCAGGTTTTAGCAGCCCTCGAAATCCTGGAATGGTGTGGGTTGGGAGGGAATGTAAAGATCATCTCTTTCCACCCCCTGCCATGGGCAGGGACACCTCCCACTAGCCCAGGTTTCTCCGAGCTGGCCTTGGACACTTCCAGGGATCCAGGGGCAGCCACAGCTTCTCTGGGAATTCCATCCCAGCCCCTCACCACCCTCACAGGGAAGAATTCCTTCCCAATATCCCATCTAACCCTCTGGCAGTGGGAAGCCATTCCCTGTGTCCTGGTCCTCCTGCCCAGCAAACCCCCAGTGCCCAGGGCTGTTCCTGCAGCACCCACAGAGGGCTGGGAAAACAGGATCACAGAATCCTGGGATGCTCTGGGTGGGAAGGGACCTTAAAGCTCAACTCGCGCCATGGGCAGGGGCACCTCCCACTCTCCCAGGTTCCTCCAACCTGGCCTTGGACAATTCCAGGGATGGGGCACCTTCCCTGGGAAGCCTGTCCTGGTGTCCCCCCCAGTCCTGCAGGATTCCAGCAGCAGCAGATCAGCTCCGAGGGAGTGACTGCACATTCCCTTGCTGAGGCCCAGCCTGGCCAGGTGGGTGGGGGGATATTTATACTTCCTGACAAAATCTGCGTGCGGAGGAGCCCGCCAAGCACCCGCAGCATTATTTGGGTTCCAGCGCCGCGGATTGAGGCGAAGGGAAGGCACCAAACATCCCCTGCGGCCCAGACCAGGGGGAGCTGAGGGCTTTTAAAAATCCCTGGATTCAGGAGAGGCTTTGGAACACCACCTGCCCCGGGATGGCTCCGCAGGGGAGGGGCGGGAAGGGCCAGGCAGGCTCTGGAATTAGGGATCTGGCTGCATGTCCCCCTTCGTCTTTAGGGTCCAGGTGATCCCTTTAATGGCATTCCTGGATTGGGAGTGTGGGATGGACTGTCCAAAGAGCTCCAGGCAGCGCTGCTCTAACACAGTTTATTGGTGTTTTAGCCTTCATCAAATATCCCAGGCTGGAAAATCGTGTGAAGGGATTTGGGGGCTCCTGGCAGGGGGTGGGAACCCTCCCCCTGCTCCCAGTAACGCCCAGTCCAGCAGAGCCCACCAGCAGAGATCCAGGGAGGAATGTGGGTCTTGCAACCAGATCCCACAAGAACAGCAATTCCCTGGACCAGAACCAGCTGGAAATTACCTTTCCAGGAGGCAAACACCTTTCCACACCTTGGGCACGAGCCCTCCTTGTCTCCTCCAGGCCTGAGCAGCAAACTGGTTCTGCCTGGAGCACCAGCCTCTCCCACCTCGTGGGGTCTCATCCCACATCCCAGTGGAAGGTCCCAGCTGTGCCCCCCTGCATCCCTCCATCCCACAGGAGGACGCTTCCCAACCTTTCCCCCCAGCCCTGCATCCCTGGGGGGGATTTGGGGGGATTGCCATGCGCTGTCCCCCCTTGGAGCAGCAACCAAGGGGGGGTTTATTCCCCCTAGAAGCCATAACTGTGAATATTTCCATACATTTATGTGGATGGAAAGGGGGAAGAGCACGAGTGACTCTGTTCCAGGCTGGAATCAGACTGGGAATGTGCTCCCAGCACCAGGAGATGCTCCGGGCTGGCCGAGGTTCCCCGGGATCGATGCCGGTGGCTCGGAGAGGATCCGACACATCAGCCCAGAGCAGAGCCCTGGGCAGCAGAGCCCTGGGCAGCAGAGCCCTGGGCAGCAGAGGCCACAGGATCAATGGGGAGTGAAGGAAATACGGCTGTGGACACGCAGCTTTTACAGCTTCCTTCCCAACACAGCCAGGCTTTATGGACTCCTGGGAATTGCCAATTCATTCCGCTGCAGCCCGGGGCAGGGAGGCAGCCCAGCTCCTTTAGAGAGTCCACAAAGTGGGAAAACGGGGGCTGTTTTCCAACCTGTTTTCCCACAGGGACTGGAATGACCCAATTCCCAGTAATAACCAGCCCGGAATGCCTCAAGCCACCAAAAGGGAAAGGGAAAGCAGGTGGGATGGAGGCAGGAGTTGCCTGTCCCTCCACTTTGCCACCTCCTCGCTCCTCATCCCACACCTCACCATCATCTTCATTTATCCCCCCCCTCCCCTGCCCCGAGAAGCCTTTCCAGGAGCTCCAGAGCTCCACAAACGAGACAGGAGGAGAGAATCCAGACCTTCCCAATTAAGGCAATTTTTCTGAATGAAGGGCCCTGCCCCTCCCCGCTCCGGGAGCGTGATTGACATAAATCCCGGGGCTGATTAGGGGCTTGTCATTTAGCACCTCTAATTCCTGCCCCCTAATGGCATTAGGGGCTCCTCGGCAGGGCTCTAATGCGGTTTCCAGCTCTCCCTGGCGCCTGGGATGGGCGCGGGGCGGGGGCGCTGCCGAGCGAGCGCATCCCTAATCCAAGGAGACAGTAATGGGAAAACGAGCTGCCTTGACAAGGTGTGCGGAGCCGGCAGGAAAGACGCGCCCGGGAGCGGCATCTCCGGGCCACGGGCAGCACCCCCGTCCTGGGCGTTCAGCTCTTTAATCCCCCGTCCCGGCTGTTCAGCCCCTTAATTCCCCGTCCTCTCCATCCTGGAGGTGGCTGCCCCCCTCTTTTGGTGCCCTCCAAGCCTTGCCAGCCCAGCTTTCCCTTGGGATCCTCCCTGCTTTCTCCACAGGGCTGCATCCCTGGCCCGTGCCCAGTCCTGATTTCCCCATCCTGGGGTTGCCCATGCCCCTCTTTCCATGCCCTGCCCCTCCAAGCCTTGCCAGCCCAGCTTTCCCTTGGGATCCTCCCTGCTTTCTCCACAGGGCTGCATCCCTGGCCCGTGCCCAGTCCCGATTTCCCCATCCTGGGGTTGCCCATGCCCCTCTTTCCATGCCCTGCCCCTCCAAGCCTTGCCAGCCCAGCTTTCCCTTGGGATCCTCCCCGATTTTTCCACGGGGCTGCACCAGTTCTTTTTTCCCCCATCCTTATTTCCCCATCACGGAGAAGCCCCACATCCCTGTTCCCATGCCCTGCCCTTCCAAGCTTTGCCAGCCCGGCCTTCCCTTGGGATCCTCCCTGTTTTCTCCACGGGGCTGCATCCCCGGTCTGTGCCAATCCTTAATTCCCCATCCCCTCCATCCCAGAGGTGCCCACACCCCTCTTTCCTCGCTCTGCCCCTCCAATCCCTGCCAGCCCAGCCTTCCCTTGGGATGTTGCTCCATGCCCTTTTCCATGCTGGGACGCAGCTCTGCCTCCCCCCTGCTCCTGGAGGGATGCTGGGGGGGGGCTCAGGAGCATTTGTGCCCCTCCAGGCTCCCAACAAATCCCTGTTTTGATGATCCCTGCTCCTGGATGATTTATAATCAGCATAATTCAATAGCCATAATAACTCCCAAATCAGATTAAACCTCTCTGTTTGTCTGGGGGCTTTGTGCTCCACTCTTTTCCCTCCCTCTGTGCCATTGATTTTTTCCCAGCCCAGCCCCTGGCTGAGCCCCTCCAAGGGCTTTTCCGGCTTTGCATCCTCCTTACCTGGACTTAACATTCCAGGATAGGTTCCCTTTTCCACCTTAAACCCCATCCACGTGGATGGGGCAGGCAGGGGATGCTCTTCCAGCACCAAAACTCCCACTGCACTTCACCCAGTCCAGGCTGCTGCCTCCAAAATTTGATCAGGGCCATTCCCAGCCGTCCCTCGTTATCCTGCCTGCCCACCACAAATCCCATTAGGCCTGCAGGATTTGGAACTGAAGTCTGGGAGGTTTTTCCATTCCTTTATGGTGCCATTCCCAGTGATCCCTCATTATCCTGGCTGCCTGCTTCCAGTAGGATTCGGAAGTGAAGTCCAGGAGCTGTTTCCACGTTTTTGCTTGATGAAGAGGAACAGAGGTGGAGGCAGGAGCAGGGATGCAGCGGGAAGCCGGGCTGGAGGAGGTGAGGATTGTGTTAACACTGATTAATAATAAATAACCACCGTAATGAGCGTTAATTAATTAATAATAACACGTGCTGGAGCAATTGGCTCCTGGTGAGTGGCACTGGGCTGTCAGGAGTCCCCGTGGCTCCAGCTGGGGGATGCTCCTGGAGTGCCCAGGGTCTGGAGAAGGGATAGGTAGGGATAACCCCTCACTGCCATTGGAATGGCTCCAGGAACAACCCTCAGTGAATCCCACTGCCAGGGTGTGGAAAGATCTGCCTCGCTCCATATTTTTTTCTCGGTCCCATGTGGAAAAAAACTGCTAGAGACTTGTTTTTTTTTTTATTTACTTTTATTTTTGACCACTCTTAGGTGTTTCTGCACCTGGAGCACCCCCGTGGGATCCCACCTGGAGCAGGTGATGGAGCCCAAGGCTGAGTGTCCCGAGTGTCCCGTGTGTCCCATCCCCTCCGATCCACGACGGATCGATGGACACGGAGCTTTAATCAGGGTGCAATAAGAAAAGCACTTAATTTGCCCTATTAAAATCCGCACTTCGGGTTTTTCAGGATCCAGGAAATTAACTGAAGCACCTGAGCCGTTGCTTTGATTGGAAGAGATGATGAATAATTCATGGCTTGTCTTTGCCTTCCCTGGAAAAGAGCTGATGGGATGGGGAGGGACTGGAGCTGATGGGATGGGGAGGGACTGGCAGTGGCTCCCGAGGTCCCTCTGGGGTGCTGGTGGAGCTGGTGGGCTCCAGGGTGGTCTGGGTGGCGTGATGGGCACAGACAGAGCCTGGCACAGCCCTGGGAGAGCGGCCTGTGCCAGGGAAACACGGAATTCACCATGGGTGAATTCACGGAATTGGGGATGGTGCTGGGCTGAGGGGCTGGATCTGCCCAAGGAAGGGCTGGGCAGGGCTGGAGGTGACTGGGAGGAGGAGGAGGAAGAGGAGGAGGAGGAGGAGGAGGACCCAGAGCAAGTCAGGCTGTGTCCAGCCACATACTGGTCCCTACTGGGAGGAGCAGAGCCAGCCACGAAAATCTCCGTGACAATGAAGCCGAGTGTTCCGTCTATAACTCAGAGGGGCTGGAAAGTGGGTTTATAAAAGGAATTAAAAATAAAAACGCGGCTGAAACAGCAGGAGTTTATGGCCCTGCTGGTGCTGAGGGAGGATGTGGCAGGACCGTCAGACGGGCACAGCGCCCAGCCCTGCCACGGCCACTGGTGCACACTGGGAGCACTGGGGGGCTGCGTGTGGGCACGGGGGCTCTCGGGGGCGGGACGTGCATCCCTGGGGATTGTCCATCCCGAGGTGTGGGATGTGCATCCCCAGCCGGCACAGGCTGAGCATCCCAGGCCCATGGATGCTCCCGCTGCCTCTGGAGGGGTGCGCGGGGGTCCGTGCGGGGCAGAGCTGGTATTCCCGAGCTTTGAGCGGGACGAGGGGCGGGATTTGGCACCCGGGGCCGCGGGGGGACCACAGCGGTGGGCACGGGCTGTTGTACGGTGGGCACGGGCTGTTGTACAGTGGGCTCGCACTGCCCTCCAGTGGGCGCATCGCAACTCCAGAGCTTCCCAGATGTGCCCCTGCCGCTGCCCAGATGTGCCCCAGCACTGCCCAGATGTGCCCCAGCACTGCCCAGATGTGCCCCAGCACTGCCCAGATGTGCCCCCGCCGCTCCTCAGGGATGCCCGTCCCCCCCAAAGCCGCGGGTGCGCTGAGCTGGGAGGGGTCTCAGCTCTGCGGGGGTCGGGATAACTCTGCCCGGGACAGCCGGGGGCGGGTCCTTTCCTCCTCTGCTCCCCGTCCCGCTCACTGCAGGTTCCTCTTCTTGGCCACCTTGAGGGCCACGTTGTCGTACTCGGTGTCGCCGAGCCACTCCTTGCCCTGCAGCAGGAAGGGCTGGCGCAGCGGGACGGGTCTCTTGGGCACGGCGTAGTCGTCCCGCTGGGGGTTGTAGGGCTGCTCGTGCCCGGGGGGCTCCTCGGGGGCCGCCTGCAGCCTCCACGCCTCGCCCTTCACCTCCTCGGGCTCGTCGTACACGGCCAGGGCGGAGAGACCCTCGGGCTCGTCGTAGATGTGCTCGGGCTTGGCGGCCGTGGGGCGCGGGGGGGGCTGCTGGGGGGGCTGCTGGGGACCCCCCCCGGGCTCCCTGGGGTTGTAGGGGGGGTCGGGACCCCCCTCGGGGCCCCCCAGGCCGCCGAACTGGCGGGCCAGGAGGGCTTTGGCGATGGTGTCGAAGGGCACGGCGTACTCGCACTCCGGCCTGGCCGGAGCATCCTGCTTCCAGCTCTTCCCTGGCACCGCGGGTTTCCCGCGCAGGAGGGAATCGCAGGGCTCGGCGTAGGGATAATCAGCCCCTCGGGAGGGCTCCCCAGCCCCGGAGCAGCCGCTGAGGGGGGGCATCACCACGGGGGGCTTGGCTTTGGGCACCTTCCCCTCGCGGGCGGGCTCCTTGGGGCCGCCGGGCTCCTCGTGCCCCTGCGCCCAGCTGGGCGTCCTGGAGTGGCCAAGGGGCCGGGGGGCTTCTTCCCCAGGGCCCCCCCGGCCCCGGTGGGCATCAATGGCTGACTCGATGGCCTGGAAGATCTCGTTGCCCTGGCGGGTGTCGAACTCAAAGTTGCCCTCCCCGGAGGTGCAGCGCCGGCCGGCCTCGAAGGAGAATGTCACCTGGGGTGGGGACAGACACACAGCATCAATCCCTGCATCCCAGTCTGCTCTGCCCACACCCACACAGAGTCACTGAGCTTGCAAAAGAGCTCTGAGATCATCGAGTCCAACCTATGACCCAACCCCACCTCGTCACCCACACCATGGCACTGATGCCACATCCAGGCTCTGCTGAAACACCTCCAGGGACGGGGACTCCACCCCCTCCCTGGGCAGCCCATTCCAAGGGCTGATCCCTCTCTCTGGGAAGAACTTCTTCCCCATGGCCAACCTAAACCTCCCCTGAGGCAGCTCAAGGCTGTGCTCTCATGTCCTGGGAGAAAAGTCTGACCCCTCCTGGTTTCCCCTCCTGTCAGGGAGTCGTAGAGAGGGACAAGGTCTCCCCTGAGCCTCCTCCTGTCCAGGCTGAGCAACCCCGGCCGCTCCCCACAGCACCTGTGCTCCAGACCCTTCCCCACCGACCTTGTCCCTCCCGAAGCGCCGGAGGAAGCGGTAGGGCCAACTGTAGAGCAGCTCCGAGCTCTGGAAGTGCCGCAGCTCCAGCGCCTCCTCCCCAGCCCGCAGGATGCAGCGGCCCCAGAGCCGGCAGCGCTGCGACGACTGCGTGGCCCTCACCGTCACCTCGAAGTCCTGCTCCAGGCCGGCTGCAGGGGGTGGAAAAAGGGTGGGATGGGCACCTCCCGCCCCGGGGGGCTCAGGACCCTCCCCGGCCGGGGCAGTGTCCGGCCGATAAGGGCCAGAGGGCTCCGGCCGCGGGCGATAGCGCGGCAAAGCCGGCCCTGCCAAACCGCAGCAGGAAGGGGCTGTTTCGGGAGGAGACTTCCCACCACACAGCCAGGAGCTGTGCTGGGAGCTGCTCCCCGGCACCACGAAGCACGAGGAAGCACGAGGAAGCTCCCTGGTGCAGGTGGGGATGAGGGGCTGTGGGATAAAGCGCTGCCTCCCACCCCAGCAAACCCCCGCCCGCTGCTCCGTCCCCACTTCCCGGTGCCTACCTTTGCCCCGGGAGCTGTACAGGGAGTTTTCCTCCATGGAGAACTCTCCATCAGTGCCCAGTGAGCTTTGAGGGCCGTCCCTGCCTGCTGCCTGCTCCTCCCTGCTCCTCTGCCCGGGAGAGAGTGGCTGGTGAGTGAGGGCAGAGCGTGGCTTGGACACCTTAAACTCTACGTGATATAAAACCTTAGCATGGCATTGACGCCTTAAACTCTACACGATATAAAATCTCAGCGTGGCTCTTTCACCCCTTTTTAGCCAAGCACCTTTGGTACAAGACATGTGAAATTGTTCTTTGACGCTCCTTGTCAAGAATTCCGGCGGACAAAGGTTTGAGCGAGGTGAAAAAAACACCTTTATCGGGAAAAATGTGCTCGGAATAAGGAGTAACAGGGACACCCCCCTGGATACAGCCAAGCCAAAACTACTCAGAAGCCTCGAAGCCGTTCCAAGGGGGGCAGAGATGGTGAGGGTGACGAGGGCTGGGAGGAAAGGCTGGTGGTTTCAGGACCACCGACTCAAATTCGGGAGGCGTGGCAAGGGTGGGATGGCGGGAGGGATGGTTTTGGGGATGGGTGTAACCAGTGAGGCAACACCCAGGTATCACAATTAGATATTGTGTT